AATTGAAAAGTAGTCACCTCCAAAAAATAGACATTATTTAAATTATTAGTTAAATTGAAGTAATCATGATATTTAGTTGTTTTATTTCACTAATTAAAAAATTTGTACACGAGAAATTGTAATTTACTATTTAATTTTAGTCATTTTAAAAAAAAGTAACTATTACTTAAATCAAAATAATCAATAATATTAACAGCAAAAGTTAGTCTAGTTTGTAAGTCCATAATCTACAAGATGATAAGATCAAATTTTGTTGTGATATAAAAATCTTATTAATAATTTATCTGTAAATATTTTTATAATAACTCTTTAAATCCAAAGACATTTAGTTCAAATCGGAGGAGGAGGTATCCAAATTGTATGGAGGAGTATGCTTTGTGACAAGTAAGAGAAAAAACGGGAGATGCCTCTGCGTTGGAGGTTCAGCGACTTCACTATTCGCAACTGCACTTGTACGTACGGGAAGGAATCTCACGGGGTCCAATCGTTCTGGGAGCACCTCCAATGCCTTGCACCTTTTTTAAGTAAAAAATATAATTTAAAGAAATATTGAGGGGATTAGTCCTTTCATGGTTTTCCAAATCTAAAGGGAAGGACGGACAACAGAGGAGCCTCGTGTGGCCCCATTTTTCTCGGATCAAACAAGCTTTTACTGGGGCAAGTAATTCGAGCATATCCAAGTTATCCAGATTAGGTTTATTTGAACTGATCTGAATATCCATATTAATTATTAAATATTTTTATTTTTATTTTTATTTTTTTCTAATTTTAATTTTAATTTTAAAAAATTAATATTCTCAACTTTTTGTCTTATTTTAATATTATTTTTGTTGTCAAAAAAATATTTTATAAATTTTAAAAGTATTTTTGAGCCCATTTATTTAAAATTAAAAAATAAGTGACTTTTAGATAATTTAGAGATTCTATAAAAAAAAGATTTATTTTGAAAGATTCTACAAAAAGTAGATATTATTTTATGTTTGGTTACAACAATAAAAAGAGTAATTATTAGTTAGTCATGTTTAAATTTTATAATATCTTCTTTAATTTTTTATTTTTAAAATAATTTATTATTTAATTATTATCAAATTTTATGATATCTTTATGTATCCCACTTTTTCTAAACATTCTCTCTCATCTACCCCATCATATTATTTTCAAAAGTTACTTTAGAAATCTTCTTTTTCTTTTTCTTTTAATTATTTTTAAAAGTTTAAGACTCGTTTGTTTAAAATTAAAAAATATTTTTTAAATATTTTTTAGATTTTATGAAAATAAATTTATTTTGTAAATATTTTTTAAAAAGAAGATACTATTTTATATTTAGTTACAATAATAAAATGTGATTATTAGTTAGTTATTGGGAAAATATCAATTAAGGACCATTGGAGCATATTTATATCGATCAAGGACTAATAGATTCTAAAATTCCACTATAGTCCCTTGATCATTGACTGATATTAATTTTTATGTGAAACGACCAAATTACCTCTAAAATATAAAATAATAAAAAAGTCACCCCAACTATCACTGATGCTGGCCATCGAACTACCGTCGGAGACCTATTATCAACAACCAATAACTTTTAAAAAAAAAGGTAAATCTATCATGTCCGTTTTTCCTAACTTGTTAAATCCTAAAAGGGTTGTTGTTAATTTGTTTTTCATTATTATCAAAATCCAGATGGCTTATTGTTTATGCATTCGTTCCATTAGACCTATGCTTTCAATCATAAAAAAATAAGTATCCATTTGGGTATTCACAACAATGCATTCATAATAAGTAACAATTCATTTGGGGCTTTACCAAGTTAGAAAACTGAATAAGAAAAGCTTAACTATATAAATGTTATTTTTTCAACAACAAATATTCATTCAGGTTTTAACAGTAGTTATTTCAAAATCAACAATAATCCATTCACGTTTTAATGAAAAGATGATAAGATATGCTTAATTATATAAATGTTAGTCATTTATCAACAAGTATCCATTTACATATTGACAATATTTATTTTTTTAATTAACAACAATACATTCTGACTTTAACAGGTAAAGTGTATGAAACTTTAAAGTTCCTAATTTGTAATTGGGTATGTTAGATTAATAAGTAATATTAGTAAAATAATAAATGCTGTTCAAGAATTAACAACATACCATTATATTATAATATGAAAGTTGTTTAAAAACTTGGATTGGTATATATATGTTTTTATCATATATAATTAAAAGTGCTTGGTGGCCTAGTTTTTGGGTGATCAAGGGGTGGTGGGATCAAATACCCCCTTGGCCACTTGTACCAATTTTTTTTAAAAGAGTGTCATTGGGGCCGAAGCTCTAGTGACCAGCCATAGGTGACCATGCCTACGATAGGGTCTCCAGCTATGGTTTGGTGGCTGGCGGCAATGATAGTGAGGGTAACTTTTTATTATTATTTTATATTTTGGAAAAAATTTGTACGTTTTACATAAAAATTAATATCAGTTAAGGATCAAGGGACTATATATGAATTTTAGAATTTATTGGTCATTGACTAATATAAATATGCTCCAGTGGTCTTTGGTTGGCATTTTTCCTTAGTTATTTTTAAATTTTATAATTTCTTTCTTTATTTTTTAAAAAAATTTATTATTTAATTATTTTAAAATTTTATGATATATTCTCTTTCATCTATTACATCAGATTATTTTAGAAAGCCACTTAAAGTATTTTCTTAAAATAATTAAAAATTTATTTTTTTAGACTCTAATTATGTTCAATAGTTTAAATAAACATAATTAAAATTCATAAAATAGATATTTTTTCAAAAAAATAAGGATATTTCATAAAATAAACTAAAATAAATGAGTTTTTAAACAAACATTCTAAACTTGACAAAAACAACACGAACATTCTTCACACCCACAAAATGGATTTTTTTTAAAAAAAAAGAAGTGATGTTTTTATAAAATAAGTTAAATAAAAACTCTTTATCTCACAAGAATTAATAATTTAAGGTTGAATAAAGCCATGACGACAGAACATGTAAATTAATTGCTGGTCAAACAAGAAAAAAACATGTAGATTAATTTTTTTTTCAAATTTAAAATGGAAAAAATGCAAAGGATGAAAGACTCAATGGTAGAAGTGAAAATCAGAGCGGGCCTGACCCTTATGAGTCCAACCCTTAAGGGCTCAGGCTCTAAAACTCAATTACTTAAAATTTAACCTAATTTTAAAGCATGGTCCTTATTTACAAGGCTCAAGGCCTAGCCCTTAAGCTCTCTTTTTCGAAAAAATCAAACATTTTAATTTAAACATAATATTCTAAAATTTAATATAAAATAAATTAAAATATCACATAAAATTTGACAAAAATTCATAATTTTAAATTTAAGATGAATATTTTTAATCTTCATCAATGTAAATCTAAATTCTCCTCATCATCATTTAAAAATAAAATATTAAATCCCTCATACATAGGTCCACTTATTAAAGATAGAAGTGAAGATTTAATATCAATTATCTCTACAACTTCTTGTTCATCACCTACAATAAATATTAATTAAATTGTGTCATTGGTAGTCAAATATATGTATGTATGTGTGCATGTATATATATATAAGCTAACTTAGTTTATTAGAGCTTGAAGGGTCATTTGAGTTTGAGTTCTTTTGCACAAGGCTCCTCACGACCAAGCCCTCAAACCTGATCACTTTAAAAAAAAATTAATTTTTAAAGTTTAAACCCTTATTTAAAATAGAACCTTTAGACTCAATTTTTTAAGCTTAACTTTTATTTTCGACTTTATTCAATGGAGTTTTACTCTCTTTTATTTTTCAGTTTTCACATGCGTCATGCGTGTGTGTGGGGCAACAGAGAAGAGAGGTGAGAGGGCACTCACGTCGGGTTCTATCATGAGAAATTATTGCTAAGGACCGAGAAAAAAATATTTATCATGAAGATCATAAAAATTCGAATTGGACTGAAGGACCAACATAAATGTAATTAACTATTATAATTTTAATGTAAATATATTAATAATATTTTAAAAATACAGTTGTGCGTATTTCAATTTCACATAAATAAAAACAATATAGTATTAAATTTAATTAAATCAATAAATTTTAAGAAATAATTACTTTTTAAATGATTAATTGACTATAATTTTGAAATCATTACTTTTAAAAAATTAAATCAATATAATTTTAATTTTTTTTAAAAAAATTATTACATTTTTTGTTTTCATTGGTTAAAAAAGATTTTTTAGTGTGAATTTATCTTTAAACTTATTTAACATTACGATGAATTGATTCGATGATCATGTGATGATGATATTTAACTCTTCTATTTTTCAAATTTGCGAATCTTCAAGACACACTAAACTTTTCAGTTGCTTTGATTTCCAGTATTATTTATTTATTTACTATTGTCAGTAACATAACTGTTAAATTCAATCTCAAATGTAGTTAGAGACAATATAGAAGATTTAGTTAAGAACAATTTTATATTTTGAAATTTATATTTTAGTATTTGGTCATTCTGAATAATTATTATTTTTAAGATCATTTCTAATAAATATTCTTTTTTTCCGGGTTTCTAGCAATAATTTCCCCCCCATCATTATTGGGATCTGCTACCTTTCCGTTCCTGGACACGTAACATGCGGTATGGAACAAACCCTGTCCACTCATTTTATACCAAATATTTTTTTGAATAAATTTTGGATCAAAATATAAGAAAACTATCTTCGTATTATTTAAAAATAATAAAAATACACAAACAAATTATGTGAGATATGTGTTTTTATGAATTAAAAATAAATAAACAAATAATAATTTTGAAAACGGAAACAAATAAATAAGAATATATATAGAATTATACTGTTATGATCTTGCAAAATCTGGTTATCTTTTATTCTTTTATTCTTTTATTCTTTTTCCAATTCAAATGACTCTGCCCGACTGAATAAAAAGCAAAGGAAGAGGGATCCGTAGAAATAATAATAAGATTTTAGAGAGACTTGGAAGATATTTTTGGGTAGGGGAGAGAGAAAGGGAGGGATCACAGGAGAGTGAGAGAGACGGAAGCGGAGACGAAAGCGTAGATCCAAAAGGCAGAGACACAACCCAGAAGCAGAAGGTATGTTCTGTTGTTGCCTTCTTCTCTTTCACTTTCAATTGTCTCCACCAAAGCGTCTCTGATCTGTGCTGAACGTTGTGTTTATGCCCAGTTTGATTAGATCTGTAGTTTTTTTCAACTGTCTTCATTTATCTCTGCTTCATGTATCGAAAATTGACGTCTAGTGAAATCCATTGGCACCTCTGCTTCTCACGGCGGGGTCCTTTTCTTAGTTCTTTAATTTATCTTTATACCGTCTTTATTTTCTTTGATTTTTGGTTCTTAAATAATTGAATGTTATATGTTCAGACTTGCATGAAATACATTCCAGGTCCTATTTAGAAGATGCTTTTAATTAAATCACGTGGATTAAGAAAAATGAGTATAATTAGTCCTGTCTTTTGACTTTGTTTTTAATAATGTCTATAGAAATTAAAAGGGAAAGTGATAACAAAATTTCCTCAAATCTGATTTCTCGTAATAATATAATTTTACTGAAATATTTAGGAATTTCTATATCAATAAATTTTAAATTAAAAAGACTATTTTACTTTTATTTATTGATAAGTTGTAATTTTTTATTCAATTATTATGATTTTTTTGAAGAAATTTATTATTCTTTAAATAAAAATTGAAATTGAGACTTCTTATTTTAAGAATTTTTTTAATAACAGAAATTACACTAAATAAGTTGTAATTTTTTTATTCAACTCTTACAATTCATAGAGTATTCGTTGAATAAAAATTATAATTGAAACTTATTATTTTGAGAGCTTATTTTTCTATAATAGAAATTATATTTGAGAAGTTATAATTTTTTTTCAATTATTGTAATTCACATAATAAAAGTTTTTATTTTTTAAATAAAAATTGTGACTAGGGCTTGTTATCTTTAATAAGAGTAAAATAATTTTTTTACTTTAAAATTTATTGATACAAAAGTTCTTACGGGATTTTAGTGAATTGGCATTTCGATGAACCAGATTATATAATTGTAGGGGATTTTATTGTCATTTGTCCAGTCACAAATTACTCTTAATCAAAATTATCAACTTTATCATTAAATCTTGAAGTCGAACTCAAACAAGAAACCCAAATGAAGTATGAACCAATTGATAGTGGGCATTTTTGGAAATAATTCTTTATTATTTCCATCAAGTTTTGTAAGATATTTTGCTTTTTTTTTTTAACCATCATAAGATATTTTGTATTAAAGATTACATAAAATTTTTACAAGATATCTTATATTGAGGATCGAAGAGAGTATTGTATATTCTAATTTGATAAGCTTTTCAATAACAATAAAATATGTTTAGTCACGAAAATAATCACAATTTAGAGAGAACCACCCCGAGCATCATTTTAAAAACTTTTGCTTTTTTAAGGAACTCAAACCTGAGTTATAATATATTTTTTAATGTTTTTTATCTTGTTTTTTTTTTTTAGCATAATAATGAACAGCACAAAAGAAGAAAGTTGTGGCAAGGAACTGACATGGATCGAGTGTATATGGCCAATCATAGAACATCTCTTGACTCGGTAATTATACTTATTTATCTTCTTTACCCAAGATCTCTCGCAAAGCATTTATGATGCAAATTAGCTTCTTTCATTTGAATGATATGATTACAAACATAATTTGGTTCATTTGTCCAACCCACAAGGAAAGAAATTATTTGTGCATTACTTCTAGGAAGATTCGTTGGTTAGTTTAAATCCTTGAGCAGATATGCATAAAGAAAAATGATTTTTTGACATGAACATGACCATTAATTGTATATGATAGGTTTTTCTTAACGTATTTTTCTAACTCACCTCTTTTTGAAGTATAACAAATGGCAATAAAGAAGAAGAAGAATGGAGCAACAATAACAAAAAAGCACATGCTATAAATGAAGATGATGAGGGAAGAGTAAGCAAAAGAAGCAATAGCAACAAAAAGGTGGAAATTGCATATGATGATGATAATGAGAGAAAAGCAATGGACAATACTGAAGAAGGAAGTAGTAACAACGAGAAGGCACGTATTGCAGGTGGTGGTAGTGGGAAAGGAGAAATGGACATTAAAGAACAAGGAAGCATTTACAACAAATGGTCACTAATTGGAGATGATGTCTTGGGCATCATTCTAAGAAACTTAGGCGTCATTGATTACCTTCAAACCCTAGCTGTATGCTATAGTTGGAGGTCCATAGTCGTTAAATGCATTGCTGACAAACATTGTCTTCCATCACCTGAATTGCCACTTCTTTTTCTTCAAACAATGGAAATGAAAAACCTTCCTTTCTTCGACTTGCCCAGAGGAAGAGTCTTCAACTCCACAGGGTTATCACATGAATTCTTCCATCATTGCTATGGCACAATAAAAGGTTGGATGATCATGGTTGAATCTTTCAACAATTCTTTTGATTATGTTCAAGAAACTGATGTGCGGATCTTCTTCTTCAACCCAATAATGAATGCTAAGGTCTATATACCGTCAAGGTTGAAAGTAAAAGGTAAAATTAGGAATATTGTGGCATCAACAGAGCCCAATGACCCAAACTGTGTTGTGGCATGTCTTTTTCATCGTAGCTATGTGTTTGCATTTAGTTGGATTTCAAATGAGTCATGGACTATCATCAAAGAAGATGTGTCTACAGCATTGGCGTTCATGCATGCAGAGATTATTGATGGAAAATTGTATGCTTTGACCAATAACTCACTATTAAACTCTTTGGTTTGTTATGATTTGCAAAAAGAACCCATAAAACCCAAAATTTTAGCAAGGCTTCCTGAAAGAAGATTTCCTATAATAAGAGGGAAAACGGGTCCCGGGGACTTCATTTATGATGGTGATGGTTGTATTCTTAATTCTTGGGAAGCTCATGGGGACATTCTTCGAACTCTTGCAATTGATCCTTCATCAGGGGAGCTGTTCCTTACTTATTTGGTTTGCAACTCAATCTTTAGGTTGAAGGAAATGCTTAATGATACGGCAGGAAAGGAGTATACTAGTCCACCCAAGATTGTGGACAGCCAAGTGTTCAAGTTGGACATGAGTAAAGAACCTAGATGGATAGAAGTTAAAAACTTGGGAAATCGTATGTTGTTCATTGGGTATTGGAAAAGTTTTGTGGTGTCAAATGATGCTCTTCAGTGCCCTAAAGAGTTTATCAAAGGAAATTGTATTTATTTTGCTTATCGTTTTCCATGTGTTAAGGGTATCACGGATGAATGGAGAGGCTTGAGAATCGGGAGGCATCGTAGGATGGATAAAATGGTTGATTACTATACATTTGAAAGATCTAGCTTCATTGAGGTGCCATATCCAATTTGGTTCATACCAAGTCTTTCATGACTCTATAACATATATTGCTTTATATTTCTTAGATATTATTGAAGGTTTTTTGAGGTTAGTGAAGATGTTTTTGTATTTTTTATAATATTTATTGTTATTATTTTATTATTAATATTAATCCAAAATATTAAAAAAAAGATAGAAGTAGTTGAAGACAAAGATCTTTAAACTGAAATTTTATTTTATTTCTTATACTTATTTATTAATTATCCACTAAAATGTAATATATGCATAAACATGTGAATATTTTGCTCTGTACTACTCTAGGGATTTTTCTATCATTAAGGAATTAGTATCAATGACTAAATTACCCTTAGTTTAAATATCAATTGATTCACAAGTTTTGTTCTCAAATTCACAACTTTTCTTTTTAAAATCACAATAATTCAACAACAATTCGCAAGTTTGCATTTAAAAATATGATATTTCTCAAGTGATGCAAATATCAATTTCTATTCACAAGTTTTGTTCTAAAATTCACAACTTTTTTTTTTTAAATCACAAGAATTTAATAACAATTCGCAAGTTCACATTTGAAATTCTAATATTCCTCAAGTGTTGTAAATATCAATTATAATTCACAAGTTTTGTTCTAAAATTTATAACTTTCCTTCTTAAAATCACAAGAATGTAATAGCATTTCATAAGTTTGCATTTGAAATTTTGAACTAAAGGCAATTGATCATTTATATTAATTCCTTAATGACAAAAAAGTCCCTAGAGACTTCAGGGAAATTATGGTATTTTGAGGGATCAAAATATCATTTACATAAGTCAAAGGAATTTTATTATCATTTTTCTTATTTATAATGCTTAGCTGTAAAAATATATAAATAATTAAAGTAAAATATATTATAATTGTTCAAAAAAATATTATATGTATATATATATATATATTAAAGATATGTGTATTAATAAATTCCTCCTCAATTCCTTTCATAATATCTAGGACTGTTATAAAATTAACAACTAAAAAATAAAAATATTGAGAGAAGAAACAGAGACAAGTGAATGAGAGAATTTCTTATGGATTATTATGTCCTTCAATACAAATTACATGCCCTATTTATAAGTATGGTTTTACACATTAAAGGTTACACAACTGATAAAAGCATATAAAGGGTAATCAACTTTCATGATGGTGGGAGTTTCATAAGAGAAGATGAAGATGAAGAGGTGATGAAGATGAACATCCACTATCCTTGTAATATTCATAACATTCCCCCTTGAATGTCTATTATATAAGAATGTGCCTTATTAAAAACTTCAACTAGGAAAAACCCTATGGGAAAAAACCTAGGAAAAGAAAAGAGTATATCATTCATTGATATGCTATTCAATGCTGTCTCATTAAAAACCTTGCTATGAAAACCCAATGGGAAAAAAACCTTAAACAAGGGAAAAAGAGTATAGCGCACATTAAGTCCCTCTCTTGACAACATCAATCGATATCTTTAAGTCTGCAAAGTCCAATATCATGAACAAGTTTTTCAAATATTCTAGCAGGAAGTGACTTGGTGAACATATCAACCAGATTTCTTTTGAATGAATTTGCTGGATATTAATTTCACCATTCTTTTAAAGATCGTGAGTGAAAAAAAAAATTGGTGAAATATGTTTCGTTTTATCTCCTTTAATATATCCTTCTTTCAATTGGGCAATACAAGTAGTATTATCTTCATATATGATTGTTGGGATCATTTTATTAAAAGATAGACCATAAGTAGCTCGTATGTGATGGATTAATGATTTTAACCACACATATTCTCGACTTGCTTCATGTATAGCTAGAATTTTTGCATGATTAGATGTTGTGGCTGATATTGTCTGTTTCATATATTGTCATGAAATGGCTATACCACCACATATGAACAAATAACCTGTCTATGATTTACCAACATGAGGATCGGACAAAAATCCAGCATCTGCATAACCAATAAGGTCAGCATTATGTACTTTGGAATAAAATAATCCCATATCCATAGTACCCTAAGATAACTAAAAATGTGCTTAACACCATTCCAATGCCTTCGTGTTGGTGAAGAACTGTATTTCGCTACTAAGTTAACAGCAAATGAGATATCAGATCGTGTGTGACTAGCAAGATGCATTAGTGCTCCAATTGCACTAAGATATGGTACTTCTAGACCAAGTAGTTTTTTATCACCTTTTCGAGGTCTAAAAGGATCTTTATCTACCTTCAATGATCATATAACTATTGGGGTACATAATGGATGTGATCTATCCATATAAAATCATTTTAAGACCTTTCTTGTATAAGTTTCTCGATATATAAAAATTCTATTATTTATATATTCCATTTCTAATCCAAGGCAAACTTTTGTTCTTCCTAAATCTTTCATTTCAAATTCTTTCTTTAAGCAATTTATAGCTTTTGAAAGCTCTTCAAGTGTTCCAACAATATTTATGTCATCAACATAAGGAGCAATTATGGCAAACTCTTTTCTAAATCTTTTCATAAAAATACAAGGACAAATTAGATCATTTTTATAACCTTCCTTCAATAGATATTCACTAAGTCAATTATACCACATAGGCCCTGATTGTTTCAATCCATATAAGGATTTATTCAACTTGATCAAATAATTTTCTTGAGAACTTGAATTGTATGCTTCTGGCAATTTGAATCCTTGAGGGAGTTTCATGTAAATGTCACTATCGAGTGAATCATACAAATAAGCTGTAACAACATCCATTAGATCCAAATCGAGTCCTTCACTTATTGTCGGGCTAATTAAATATCAAAAAGTAGTTTCATCCACCACTAATGAGTATGTTTAAACAAAGTCAATTTCAGGCCTTTGTGTAAATCCTTATGCCACAAGCCGTGCCTTATATCTTACAATTTCACCATTTTCATTTCTTTTTTGCACAAAAACCCATTTATATCCTACTGGCTTGACACCTTCGGGTGTGTAGACTACAGGTCCAAAAATATTTCACTTTTCAAGTGATTGTAATTCTACCTCAATTGCGTCTTTCCATTTTGGCCAATCCTCTCTTTGTTTGCATTCCTTAATGCACTTTGGTTCATGATCCTCATTATCATTTATTACATCAAGCGCTACATTATGTGCAAAAACATCATCAACGTTGACTTCATTTCGGTCCCATTATATTCTATTCATAATATAATTTATTGAGATCTCATTATTTTCACATGTTTTAGGTACCTGAGTTTCTTCTGGAATTGAAATATTAGTAGTCTCAAGTGACTCTTCATGAGTTACTAATTCTTCTTGATTATCCTCGATTTCACCATCTGTGTTTCTAGCTCCTTTTCTTTTTCAAGGATTTTTATGTTTGGAACCAATGGGCCTTCCATGTTTTATGGCGTAGTTTAAAATCATTTGCAATAACAGGCTGTCCAACCAGGACATTAATTCTAATTAGAGCATTAGCAGCAAGAATATGTGATTTAGTTACTTTCTTTGGGTCAGTAAATGCATCTGGCAATTGATTTTCTAAATTTTATAAATGAATTATCTTTTGAACTTCTAGTTCACATTGCTTTGTACGAGGATCAAGATGAGATAATGATAATTCATTCCAACTAATTTCCTTTTCCAACTACTTATTTTCTCCCCCTAATGTTAGGAAAACTGATTCATCAAAATGACAATCAGTAAATTGAGCAATAAATAAATCTCCTGTTGATAGTTCTAAATATTTAATTATAGATGGAGATTCATACCCAATATATATTCCCATCCTTCTTTGAGGACCCATCTTAGTACGTTGTGGTGGAGCAATTGGAACATATACTGCACATTTAAAAATTCTTAGATGGGAAATATCAGGTTCCTTACCAAAAACCGACTCTAAAGAGGAGCTCTTAAGATAACTTGTTAGCCTGATACGAATTAATGATGTTGCATGTAAAATTGCATGCCCCCAAGTAGGAATTGGGAGATTCGATCGCATAAGTAATGGTCGTGCAATCAATTATAAGCATTTAGTCAATGATTCTACAAGTCCATTTTGTGTATGAACATGTGCTACAAGATGTTCAATATCAATTCCAAAAGACATGCAATCTTCATTAAAAGCTTGTGAAGTAAATTCACCAGCATTATCTAAACGTATTTTCTTAATAGAATAATCAGAAAAGTATGCTCTTAATCTAATAAGTTGAGCAAGTAACCTTGTAACACTTGCCCTGAATGTTATCCAAAAATCACACAATTCAAATAAACTAAGTGTGGTTAAGGAGTTAATCCTAAAACCAACTTAGGAAACAAATCAATTAAATCACTAAGCAGATACAAGATTGCAAAATAAACATTTAAAACCTTTTTAAAAAAATAATTTATAGGTTTTTACCTATAGTGCCTAGAAGCAAGCTATGCGAAAGCAGGGTAAAAAGATGCTGTTATGTGGCAGCCCTCTCGGGCCAACTTCCAAGAGGCTCCGTTCTGTCATTTGGTCCCCGATTGAAGTAATTTTAAAGCTCACATGTCACATTCAAAGGTTATTATAAGTGCACCAAATTTCAAAAAGATCCAACGGTCGGATTAAAAATTGAACATGTTACAAGTTTGGTCATTTTTGCTGTCATGACAGCACCTCCGGACTAACTTTTAGAGTGCACCATTTCATTATCAGCCCTCCGATCGGAGCGATTCCAAAGCCCACATGTCACTTTTAAAGATTACTATTAGCATACCAAATTTTGGACAGATCTAATAGACGGATTGAATTTCATGCATGTTGTAACATCATCACTGTTGCTGTCATGACAATACTTTTACTGTCATGACAGCTCTTCCAGATCAAATTTCAGAGTGTGCCGTTTCTCTGTCTGATGTCTGATCGATATGATTCTAAAGCCCACACGAAGCTTATAAAAGATTTTACTTGTGACCCAAATTTTAGAGAAATCCAACGGTCGGATTGAGATTTGAACACCCAGATGCAAAAGTGCAGTGTTTTGGTAAAAACCATTTTCAAATTTGTCCAAATCTCATTCTAAGGGACACAAACTTGTAAGAACACTTTGGACACATCAAATAGGACTAAGAATACCTAATAGAACAT